TACACCAAAAAGTAGAAAATCCGACAGAAGGCCAATATGGTTATAACTTGCATGTACTCCGTCATGACTCACTGCAGATTATTTTTCTCTAAAAAGATCTTACTGTTAAATCTCTCATATGTGTGACTTCTCCTTTGTATGTACTCTCATGTGTTTCACTAATTTGCCTTCTTCTGAGAAGGCCTTGTTACAAACATCACAGACAAATGGCTTCTCCTTTGTATGTACTCTCATGTGTATCACTAACCTAGATTTTACTGAGAAGGCCTTGTTACAAATATTACAGATATATGGCTTCTCCTTTGTATGTATTCTCATGTGTTGCACTAGAACACATTTTTGTGAGAAAGCCTTGCTGCAAATCTCACAACTGTATGGCTTCTCTTTTGTATGGACTCTCAGGTGTCTCACTAGAACAAACACATTTTTGTGAGAAGGCCTTGTTGCAAATATTACAGATGTATGGCTTCTCTTTGTATGTACTCTCATATGTTGCACTAGAACACTATTTTGTGAGAATGCCTTGTTGCAAATCTCGCAGATATGTAGTTTCTCCTTTGTATGTACTCTCATGTGTTTCACTAGTTTACTTTTTTCTGAGAATACCTTGTTACAAACATCACAGACAATGGGCTTCTCCTTTGTATGTACTCTCATGTGTATAACTAACCTAGATTTTACTGAGAAGGCCTTGTTACAAATATTACAGATGTATGGTTTCTCCATTGTATGTATTCTCATGTGTTGCACTAGAACACATTTTTGTGAGAAAGCCTTGCTGCAAATCTCACAACTTTATGGCTTCTCTTTTATATGGACTCTCATGTGTCTCACTAGAACACTTTTTCGTGAGAAGGCCTTGTTGCAAATCTCGAAGATATATAGTTTCTCCTTTGTATGTACTCTCTTGTGTCTCACTAAATAACTTTTTTGTGAGAAGGCCTTGCTGCAAATCTCACAGATGTATGGCTTTTCCTTTGTATGTACTGTCATGTGTTGCACTAGATTATTTTTTTCTGAGAAAGCCTTACTGCAAATCTCACATATATATGGCTTCTCCTTTGTATGAACTCTCATGTGTCTCACCAGATTCCATTTTCCTGAGAAAGCTTTCTCGCATCTCTCACAGGTATATTGCTTTAGTTGTTTATCTTTAAGACTTTCCTTAGTCACAAAAGGTTCTCTTAACAAGGAATGACCTTCCTGAACGTAAACACACAAATCCCTGGCATTTCCCCTATGTTTTTGACCATGATCATTGTGAAAGGAGAGGAATTCTTGTTTCACTTTAACGTCGCTCATTTCATCTGCATAACCAAATGGTTCCTCTTTAATTTCCAGACAGGTCTCTTCGGTGACATCGACGTTGAGCTCTTCTTTGATATTGACTCTTATACCGGATACTTCTTCATCAGCGGGTGGAGCCAAAGGCAGAAAATCGGCGAGGAAATTCATTATTATTCTGCGAATGCATAAAGAAAGGAAAAAGAGCGAAGGCATTATCAGATTGTTTCCACATATAATACAAATCAAATTAAAAATAAACACTTTTCAAAAAAATAAAAAGGAATATTTAGAAAAAAAGACATAATGCAATATAGAAAAAAATATAGATAGCTAGGTAGCCAGTTACATATATACATATTTCAATCACTTACTCTATTCAATCAGTTATATATGTACATATTTAGATCCCATACACACACCTACACCTACCCCGCCATATAATATATATAAATATATATATATATATATATATATATATATATATATATAATATATATATATATATATTATATATATTATATATATATTATATATATATAATATATATATGTTATATACATATATATACATATACATATACATTTACATATACATACATACATACATACATATATTATATATATATATATATATATATATATATATATATATATATTTATTATATAGGTGTATATATATATATGTATATATAATATATATATATTATATATTATATATATATTATATATATATATATATATACATATGTACAAAACACAACACACACAAACAACACACACACACAACACACACACACACACACACACAACACACACACACACACACACACACACACACATCCACATATATATATAATATATAAGTTATATATATATATATAATATAAATACATATATATATATATATAATATAAATACATTAAAATATATATAATATATATATATAAATATAATATATTATATATACATTATATATATATATATNAGACGGACGGACAGTGATCTATGAAGAATGAACATAGCGAGACGACAACGCGAGTAGAGCGACTAGATGAGAAAGGACGAGAGACGAGAGAGGAAGAGGACCTGAATGCAGAGAGCATGAAGGAATGACAGATGGACGTCGACGGAAGAGAGATGACGAAGCAGGACGACGATAGAGAGAACGGAGGGGAAGAGGACAGAGACTGATGATGAGGTATCAGACGTGCCGTCCGACATCCTGAGAGGCCGTGCCTGCGCAGCCTCCCACGGCATGGGAGACGGGGAGACTGGAAGGAGAAAGAGGGATTGAGACAGAGGAACCAGAGACGAGACAGAGAGACCCACAAAGAGAGACGCAGAAGGATCAGTGCGCCCCGGCTGTCGGCCTGTATTGAACGGGCATCCGAGCATGAAATGACAGGGCGATAAGTCCTCACGACGAAGAGAACGTCACCAGGGAGACCCTACTTGGATACGGTGCTGTGACCACGCGCCGACAGACGACCTGACGCATCCCCCACACTGCCTGACGGATCGCGATCGAAAATCGAACCCATTCTGACCATGACGGGCCGCAGACGACCTTTAGTTTGAACGACTGAGGCGAGAGAGAGAGAAGAGAGCATTAGCGATGATGACCATTGATGCAGCGATGACTCGAGAGAAGGGAGAGGATGAGAGATTGAGAAAATGATAGAGAGAAGAGACAGACAGCGAGAGACCAGACAGACAGGACGAGCAGAGAGAATAGACAGAAGAAGAGACAGAGACAGAGACAGAGGACATGAAGAGAGAGAGAGAGGACAAGACAGAAGACAGACAGAGAGAGAGAGATGAGAGAGAGGATCGCAGAGAGAGAGAGAAAGAGAGAAGCAAGATATACCTCTCCTTCGAATGAATGGCGTCGTATCATCGCTCCGCAACAGACGGAGATATACAATGCCTTTGCACTTTTAGATTTCAATTTTCTTGCGATGTATTACTTCCCGGAGGAAAGAGAAAAGAAAATGGAAATAAAGAATAAAGAGGAGAAGTTCGACAAGAAGTTCATGGTGTGGAAGAAATGGTAATAAAGAAGTTTAATGAGGAAGAAACAGAGACAACAAGGCAGTTTAAGGAGGAATTGTGGTTGGAAAGAAGCTTAGGGTGTGGGGAAAAGAAGTGAGTAAAAAGAAGTTAAAGATGAAGTAAAGAGAAGGAGAGTTTAGAAGTGCAAATGAAAAATGTTTATAGTGAAACAAGATAGAAGATTTTTAAATAGATGAAAGGGGATAGTGAAGCTTACGAAGTAGAGAACTAGCAAGAAAGAAACGAAAGAAGAATTAGTGGAAGGACTCTCTCTCACTCTTCCTCTCTCTATCTCTTCCTTTATATCTTTCTCCATTTCTCTCCCTTTCTTCCTCTTCTCCTTTCCCTTTCTATCTTTCTCCCTTTCTTCCTCTTTCCCTCTCCATCTGTCTCCCACTCCCTACTCCTCTCTCTTTCTTCATATCTCACTCTCTCTTTCTTCCTGTTCCCCTTTTCCTTTCCATCTCTCTCTCTCTCAATTCCCTCTACCCCTCATCCTCCTCTCTTCCATTTCCTCTTCCCTTCTTCTCTTCCCATTTCCTTCCCCCCCCCTTCTCTCCCTGGCCTGTCGCCAGACTGTCAGCGTCCCAAAGTGAGTGATGCTTCGTCTCACCAACACAATCATTTCTTCAAAGGTCTTTTTTGCTTCGCTTCTCTTCTCTTTCTCATTTATTGGTGTCTTCCTCTTCCGCCTTTCGGTATTTGTTGTTCTGTCTATTTCTGTGGTTCTTATTTGTCTTTTTTTTTTTTTTTTTTTTTTTTTCTTTGATTGTTGGAGTTATCTGTTTGTTCTCGCGGCTCTCTCTCTCTCTTCATCTCTTCTCTGTCTATATCTTATTTCTGTCTCTGTCGGTCTGCTTATCTGTCTCTCTTTCTTTCTCTGTCTCATTTCTCTCTTTCTTTCTGTCTCTTGCTGTATCTCTCTCTGTCTCTTTGCTTGATATCTCTCTCTTGTCTCCTGTGCTCTGTCTCTGTCTGTCTGTGTTGTTTGCTCAATAAATAGGTGATCTTTTTTTAAAATGATTGCTTTTTTTTTAAAAATGAAATTAAGTGAGTATTTATAAAAAAAGTATATGAATTGTCTTCTTAATTTAATGAAGTGCAGTGTTTCGAATAAATTAGTGATTCCTAAAATTAAATAAAGTGAAGTGTTTCTCAATTAATAAGTGAAATGTTTTTGTATAAATAAATGGTGTTTCTAAATAGAAAAGTGGTTTCTAAATAAACAAGTGGTGTTTCTAAATAAATAAGTGCAGTGTTTCGAAATAAATTAGTGATTCCTAAATAAATAAGTGAAATGTGTTTCATATTAATAAGTGTAAATGTTTTTTTGAATAAATAAATTTGTTTTCTGAAAGTGTTCTAAATTAAATAAATAAATAAAGTGAGTGTTTCTAAATAAATAAATGGTGTGTAACGAAATAATAAGTGGTTCTAGATAAATATGTGAAAAGTTTTCGAATAAATAAGTGAAGTGTTTGAAAGCAGATTAAAAGGAATAAATAAGTGTCTTTTGTTTTGAATAGATAAGTGGTTGTTATTTCTTAAGGAAAAAAGTAAAATCTGTGTCTACCTTTTGTTTTGAATAAATAGTGGTATTCTTTTTAATAAATAAGTTGTGTTTTTTTATAAATAAGTGAAGTGTTTTTTAAAATAAATAAGTATTCTTTAATAAATAAGTGAATGTATTTTGTAATAAACAAGTGGTGCTTTTTTAAAAATAAATATGGTAAGTGTTTTTAAATAAATAAGTGGTATTTTTAAAAATAAATAAGTGGTGTTTTTTTAAAATAAATCAGTGAAGTGCTTCTGAATAAACTAATGCAGTGTTTAAAAGCATACTAAAATGAATTCACTGCGTTTGTTTTTTGGAAAAAAAAAAAAGGAAAACAAAAAAAGAGGGAAAAAAAGAAGAAAAAAGAGAGAGAGAAGAAAAAGAGGAAAAAACAAAAAGGAACAAAATGAAAAGATGGAAGAAAAAACAAGAAAAAAAGAGAGATGGCGGAAAGAGAAAACGAAAACAAAAGGAGATTATGAAAAGGTGGAAAATAGAGAAAACACTTGAAGAGAAAAAAAGAGAGAGTATGAAATGAAAAAAACAGTAAAGTAAAAAAAAATAATAAGAAACAAAAAAGGAAGGAAAAAAAGCGAAAAGGGAAAAGAACGAGAGAAAAAAAAAGGAAGTAGAAGAAAAGAGAATAAGAAAAGAAGAAAAAAAAAAAGAAAAGAAGAGAAAGAGGAATGGGGAAAAAGTAAACAATATACAAGACGTAGGAAAAAAAAGAGAGAAAACAGTACAAAAATCAGAGAGATTTAAAAAAAAATAGAAAAAAGAAAGAAAAAGTGATAAAAAGCCCCCCAAAAAGAGAAAAAAAAACGGGAAAATAAAAAAATAGAAATAAAAAAACGGAGGGAAAAAAATAAGAAAAGGGGAAAAAAATAAAAAGAAGTTAAAAAAAAAAAAAATAAAAAAAAAGGAATAACAATAATAAAAAGACAAAAACCAACACCGAGGCCCATAGGGCATGTGGGCACTCGAACCCACACGAAATAAGGGGGAAAAGGGTACAACAATGGGTATTACAAGCCCATGGCCCCTCAGGATACGGGCCGATGGCTCTCTCAACTCGAAGAAAATTGGGTAAAATTGGATAAGAAATTGGATCGACGGCCGAGAAGGGCTTGGGATCTATGGGGTTTCGGCGAGAGGGGGGAAGGGGGGGGATGGGCGTTAATAGCGCGGTGGAGGGAGGGGAGGGTGGCGCTGGGAGGGGGGTGGGGAATGGGCTGGGCGGTGGTAGAGAGAGGGGATTCGTTGGGTGGTTGAGGACAGTGGGTGTGGCTAGGACGAGGAGGGGTTGGGATTGCGGTCGGGGTTGGGTGGGGTGGAAGGGTGTGAGGGTGGTTAGGCGTAGGAGGGAGTAAATAGGGGGGGAAGGTGGGTGGTGGCTAAGCGAGAGGAGGTGGGTTAGATAGGGCTGGAAGGTGTGGCTGGTGGTAGCGGACGATGCGAGGCGGTTAAATAGGGTGGGGGCAGGGTGGGAGGTTGTAGGACGACGGAGGTGTTGCGGTTGACGTGCGGGAATGGTCGCGATCAGGCGCTACTTCTACGTGGGG